AATCATATCTGCATGACAAAACAGAATTTTTAATTATAAAAAAATAGTCAAAAAATCGATCTAACCACTAGACAACCGAATTAAAAAAAAAAGCATTAACAGCTGGGTAACAGCCGGCTGTTACGGCCGTAACAGTCGGCCATTAACAACCACTGTTTTGGCTGTTAACAGCTGGTTGTTTTGGCTTTTAACAGCCGGGTTACCTAAGGCTATTAATAGTCGGATGTTAAAACTAGCCTAAATCATTGACATGAATATACATGTATATGAATTTTTTTTCTTATTTATGCTTGAAAGAATTATAGATCTGTTAAAAAATTTATCTACATGTTAATCTATGTCGAAAGAGATTTATCGATTAAAAATATATAAATCTACTCCTCGATTCGAAGTTATAGATGTAAAAAAATTAAACATACATAAATCTACTCATCGATTCGAAGTTATAGATGTAAAAAAATTTCTTATTTAGTGTTTAATCAATTTCTGAGATTTTGAGGTTGAAACAGATGAAAAATGAAATTTTTTATTTGTATTAAAATAAATAGATAAGAAAAGTTAGCTGATTTTGAAATTTGAAGTGAAAAATATTTGATTTTTACTTGTTAATTAAAAGAGTAGTATTGTCTTTTAAATAGAACAATATTTTATAATTGTATTGTTTACTTAATGACATCTTTTTCTTTTACCATTTAAAATTGTTGAAAATTCAAAATGAAAATTAGGGAGTTTGACCCATCCAATTTTAAAATACCCTCCAACGTGATCCCGGCTACATCGTAAGTTCATAAAGAGGGTATTTGGTGGGGATTAAAATTAGATTTTTAGTAGATTGTGAAAGAAGTTTTTGAAATGTGTGGTTGAAAAGTTGTGTGACCCATAAAAGATGTGATTAATATTGATTATTTGACTTTGACTTTGACTTGGATTAAAATCAGATTTTAATTCGAACCAAACCGAGGTAAAATGTTGGCCCAATGATGTTGGGCAGGGTTAGGGATATTTCAAGCCCTGTGTTATGTATGGGTTTTGTATGGAAATCAGGTTTGGCTGTGAATTGTGAAGGTTGCGTTAACTGTGGAGGTTGTGAAAGTGGTTTGTTGGTGCTTTGCAGTTTGGAATGAGGGAGAAACCGGAGAAGAAATCAGGGAAATGGGAGGAAAACGTGGCAACAAGTCAAAACTTAATTTTCATTCATTCATCGTCTCCCTAAATTACAATGTGAAAACCATATAAATAGTAAAATCCTAAACCTACTAGTATTGGGCTTGGGCCAACCCCCTAATACAAGTCCAATAATAATAGAACGTAAATAATAAAAATTCAATAAAATGATGTCCGCATCAAAATCATTGAAAGAAACGTCCAAGTAAGTGAGATACTTAAGTTCCTCCGAGGACTTGGGGATATTACCAGAAAGATTATTTTGAGATAGATCGAGTTGCTCCAAGTTCAGCATCTTACCCACTGACTCCAGAATAGGTCCTTGCAGTGCGCTATGTGCTAAGGAAAGATTACTCAATGTCTGTAAATCTCCAATTGTGCTTGGGATACTCCCTGAGAATTGATTGACTAATAGATCAATAAGAAATGCAACCTTGAGGTTCCCAATTTGTTGACGTAGAGAGCCACTCAAAAGTATTTGTAGATAGATTCAACTCCAGAAGATTTTTCTGGAACCACAGCCTTGCAGGTAGGGGTGGGCGTAGGTTGGGTTGGGTCGGTTTTTGCCCCAACCCAAACCCAACCCAATATTGTCGGTTTTTTCGAAATCCAACCCAACCCAACCCATGTAAATGTTGAAACCCAACCCAACCCAACCCAACCCAATTATGTGTCGGTCGGATTGGGTTGGGTTGGTCGGTTT